TTTATTTACTTGTTTTTACATTCTACAGCCAGCCTGGTGCATTCGAAGCAAAGGCTAAACCATCCTTCCGTGTTTACGGCAGCTTACAACTTAAAAATTAACATGTGGTTTATTCTCAAGAAGAATTACTGATCTAGGAGACATGTCAAAAGAATAAGCTTGATCAAGAAACTCTTGCTCTTACTTTTTTTTTTTTTAAATGTTTACTTACTTTTGGGGGAGAGAGAGAGGGAGAGAGAGAGAGAGCGCGCATGTGTGCTCAAGAGCTCAGGCACGTCCGTGGCGGGGGAGGGGGTAGCAGGAGAGAGGGAGCCACAGAATCCGAAGCAGGCTCCAGGCTCTGAGCCGGCAACACACAGCCTGATGCGGGGCTCGAACCCACAAACCACAAGATCATGACCTGAGCCCAAGTTGGAAGCTTAACTGACTGAGGCACCCCCAGGTATTCCTTACTTTAAATCATAAGAAAAGACACCCCAAAAGCTTAAGTATTAAGAAAATATTTTAAGTGGCTAATGAGTTTCTAGCTAATTGACTTACACGGCACATTAATTAATTAACTCCTTTTTCTGAAACTTGGTATTTAACACCACACTTTAACCAATCTGGCCAGAAGATAGTTTTAGCATAGCATAACAATACAAGGCCTGGTTTTGCCATCTCAGAGCTGTGTGACCTTCAGTGAGTTGTTAACCTCTCTGTTCCAATGTCATTACCTATAAGATAGAGGGAATAACAGGATTTCTCTCTCAGAGGTATTGAGAGGATGAGGGAAGTTAATATGAATGGTGCCCAATATGCAGAAGAATCCACAGTAGGACCCAGACTCCAGAAGAACCATTTGCACAATTTAAGATTTTTGCTTCCAAATATCCAAAGTGAGAAAGTAACTCATTAAAGGCTAATTTAGTTAACTAACTTGGGTTGAGTGACAAAATCATTCAAATAAAGATAAAATGTGAATCGAAGCAAACCTAGGGAGTATTTTCAGGTACAGAATCACACAGTGCCCTCCGACCTGGTGAAAAGAAAAGATTAACCTATGGTTTTAGCACGGGTCACTGCACTAGCTTCAAAAATACTGATCATCACCCAAACTTGTCATCAATAACTCTGAAGCAGTTCTCTTTCAGGAAAGCTCACTGAGCATCGTACAGTGAAATCCAGGGACGAGCTGGCCTGTTCCTGCACATGACCCTGTCTGTTCCAGGTGAGCTGTAGGGCCTGTTCTCTGGAGAAAGAACCATGAAGTCAGACAGGCATCCACAGGCAGTCAACAAAACCCCAGGGCCCCTTCCTTCCTCCACTGCCAGACCTAATATTATAGAGGACCCTGTTTAGGACCTCATGACTCACAAAATTTTAAATGAAAACAATCTCAAAATCCACAAGGAATGAGAACACGGGGCTATTTCAGTGAGGTAAAAATGATCCAAGTTAAAAAGTATTCAGAGATTAATGTTTTAGATATAGGAAAAATAGCCGTATTCCTAAATCAAATTAGAAACTGAGAATTAACATTCAATAACAAAATAACTTAATAAATACCTTTCGAAATATCTGACCCCAGTTTGGAAATATCCATTTCTCCCTGAGGGGGGATGTCCCTGTCTCCTCCCCCAAGTATGTAAAAGTAAAGTAAGGGCCACAAACATAAAAAAGTTAAGTTTAAGCAAGTTTTTGTTTGTTTGGGGTTTTTTGGCTTTAAATGAAATGTGTGTATTTCCATTCATCTGTGGGTTTTTTTTTTAATGCTTATTTTTGAGACAGAGAGAGAGAGAGAGAATGCAAGACGGGGAGGGGCAGAGAGAGGGGGACAGAGGATCCAAAGCGGGCTCCGTGCTGACGGCAGAGAGCCCGATGTGGGGCTCGAATTCACGAACCGCGAGATCGTGACCTGAGCCCTAGTGGGACACTCAACCAACGAAGCCACCCAGGTGCCCTACCATTCATCTGCGTTTTAATTAATAACCAACGTAAAGCCCTTTACAAATATTAAAGTTAGTTTCAAATATTAAATTTGAAAGTTCAAATATTAAATTTCCAAATATTAAATTTCAATATTAAATATTAAATTTTATATTCAAATATTACATTTTATATTGCGCCCAACTTAGAAAGGACACCAAGGAAGGTAATCCCATGAGGACCAAAGACACACACATGGGTAAAAGTGACACGGGCACTCAAGAGAGTCTTACAGAGACAGAAACACCAAGAGAGACCAAAAAAAGAAAAAAAAAAAAAAAAAAAAAAAAAAAAAAAAAAAAAAAAGGACACATAGAGAAATGCAGGTTTTTTAAAATAAGGGTTCATATTTGAATCATATATTTCCCTGGCCAACGTGCTCTCCTACTGTTATATTATTTGACCTCCCCAGTCATCCAATCACTGGGCGAAGGCAAGAATCACCCTGTTACAGGATTTGATCAGGGCAAGTGGTAAATATCAAACAGAAGAACAAAAGCTAGGTGGAGGGATCAAAATAAACATGTGCGTATTATTTGTTTTTTTTTTTTTTTAAGGTGAATAAATACAGAAACAGAATCACATACAATGACTTTTGCTGCGGAACGGCCTTTGGACGGAGGTAACACCAGGTTTTCAAACTGCCGTACTCTGGAGATTGTGCTAAGAAGACATTACTTACTGATCCACAGAACCCTCTGGGAAGTGAGGGTGGAAGGGTGGAAGCATGATGAATTATGGGAAACAAATACACAGCCTTCCACCAAAGAGAGGCAGAATAAGGCCTCAGCCAACCAAGGAACATGCTATTTGAATAAATTAAAAGATGGTTTCTTTCCCTTTAACAGGAGCCACACACAGACAATCCAAGAAGAGTTCAGTGCAGAAACCAGAAGAGCAAGAAGGTGTAACTGACCCAGCGGCACACAAACTGGATGCTGCCTTTTCAAGCACAGACGGAGACGTAAGAAGGAAATCGGATGAAATGAGACTTGAATCCATGCAAAGGGACTTCTGCCCTGTAAGCTCACGCACAGGTTTGTTACCAAAGTGGTAATTTGGATTTTGTGTCTTATCTCGTGACCTCTCAGAGTAAAAGCACTTGGTCCCGGGGAGAGGCCTCCTGACCGCATACGGCTGCAAAGGTGACGTGTCAGTTGTGATTCTTCGGTGGTTTGACACGTGGGACGTGAAAATGAAAATCTCTCACCTTGCTGCTGTGATCAGTTTCATCTGAGGATTCCAGGTCCGGCCCTTCGGTCTCCTCCAGAGCGGTCTCAGCACCACTGCCCTGCTCGCCGCACAGGCCGTGCCCTGCAAGACGACATCAGAGGAAAATGAGGGTCGGCATGTGCACCAACCGCTAAAAGCCATGCCTGGGCAAAGCGGGGCACGGGGTCAGGCTCACGACAGGTACATACATTGTGAGACCCTCCAAATACGAGCTCCACGATCTTGGCTCAGTAAGTGTGTTTTTATTGTTACTAGTATTATTTTTATATTATAGCATATATATATATATTTTTTTCCAATACCTAATTGTTATGATGCGCCCCGCCCCCCCACAACAAACTCAAGTTGAAGCCCTAACCTCCCACGCCATGGTATTTGGAGGTGGACCCAGGGATGTAAACATTCGGTCCACAATACGTATGATACCTGTTTTTGCGAAGTCTGGCAAGCTATAAACAGAACACCAAACTTCCATACTTCCCGGCATACTCTATGTAAAAGAGAAGGAAGAGAACACTGCAATCACAGGCCTCTGGGGGGGGCTTCTCAAATTTAAAGAGCATCTGAACCCACAGGGGATCACACTCTGCAGATTCAGATTCAAAAGATCTGGGGTCGAACCGAAAATTCTACATTTCTCACAAGTCCCACGATGACACCAATCAGTACTGTAGGTCCACGGACCACACCTGGAGTTCCAAGGCTCTAAGACATTTAAAAACCTCTAGCTAATCTGATGAGACAGTGGTATAATCAAACCAGTCTGGCACTGGATCCGGGACGACAGCACCATCACTATAAATGGACAGGATGGAAGATGAGAGAGGTAAGGGAGCCACTTTCTGACTCTTCCGATGAGAAAGCCTGGGTTTGCAAAGAGGTTGCCTTATCCAGTGACACCAATACAGTCATAACCTGCCTGGCATCACTTTCTGTTTGGACTCGAAGTTAGCTGGGAAACAGGGAGGAAGCCCGCCTCCCAGTGAGCACTGCTCCAAGATGGTATCCTGTGGTCTCCCCTCCTCCTCTGGAATGAAGCACCAACAAAGTGAATACACTCTGAATGAAAGTTTCTGTCTGTGTCCTCCCTTTTGCTCTGGCTCTAGGATTTTCTAATTACTGGCTCACTCTACCATATGGCAGTAGCAGTCAAAGAAAGCAGCTCAGTCAACTTGGTGGCTATCGACTATATCATATTGTCACCTTCATGGGGAAAAAGTGACTGAACACTCTGTACGGGGGCAATGGCTTAGAGGCTGGGGCCAGAGAAACGGGCAAGAGTTGATCTCCAATGCGGAGGAGCGGATGAGCTCATTTAGGGACACTTTGCTAAGCACTGAGCTCTTGGATCACAGAAACCACGGCTCACTCAGCACTGTCCTAAATAGCCAGGATGCACAGCCCACAGGACACCATTCACACTGCAGTCTGCAGAATGGCAACCCCCCTGCCTGTACAGCCAACTGCTGTGACTCTACAGACCCCACTGTGTAATGCAATGCCTGGGGGACAGCTGATGCTCACAAGGTAGTGAGAAAACAGATGAAAGGATTTCATTTTTAATGATACAGTGGCGCTAGGTATCCTGAGAAGGAAGGAAGGAAGGAAGGAAGGAAGGAAGGAAGGAAGGAAGGAAGGA